TATACATACATTTATATATATATATATACTAAATATAAACGAAAGTGTTAAGTCCTGTATATTTTTGTCTGTCACTATGTGTGAATGATACTGAATATTCTGTTTCATTCTGGTATATTTTGCCTTTATTAGTTTACCCCATGTTCATAGCTATGCCTTAGTGAATAATAGAAACACGTGTTGCTTTGGGAAATTAATCCTTGTATTCATCTGTGTTGGTAATGAATTTGGATAGTGATTCTCTTTTCTATCTAGATAATCACAGTCCAGGTGGATTAGTTAATTGTTTAAAAAAATCTTTGGTACGTGGATGTGGAGTTTGACTAGAGAACGAATAAATTAATCAAGTTGGTCACACAAAGATACTAGTAACAAGAGAAATGGTGACTATGCAGATGGGAGGAAATGTAATAGAAAATGTTCTGGTGGCCAGTTGGTCAAGGAAGCAGCCATGGGAGATGGAGCTCAAGGAGTTCCTGCACAATCTGTTATTTTCTCCTGGAGAGCAATTTTGATTTTGATGCTCTAGAACGTGCTTAGCCAAGCACTTTAAAATGAACTTCTTTAATTCGTTCCTTAAAGTTGTTCGCTGCATTCCCTCATTCATATTGCTTTTCTCCAAAATCTCCTTAAAGGTATGAAGTGTTTTAGAGATCACTCATCTTACTAGATATATAAAATAGCATAGTTCATGTAAGAAATAACCACTTATTTGTATATATCATTTAGAGTTATTTTAATTACTTAGCTGTTCTATGACATCAGTAACTGGGATCTGATTTCTCCTTACACTCTTCCCTTGCTATGTTTTTAATTTTTTTTCCCCCTCAGCTACTTTTATTATGTCTTTTGCAACATATATTCATAATTTTTATTTTTATTCTTTGATCATAGATGTACTTGTCTTATATATTTATTGATGGATTTTAATAATTTTAATTTAATATACATACGTTGCAACATTTGTGGGTTTTTTTAACCTAAAAAAATGAAATGGGGTTAAAAATGAATGTATTTATAAAATCTATTCAACTCTTTGCTCACAAGTTGACAGAAACAGTAAAAATCTTTTTTTCTTTTTGTAAATTTTGCTATAGAAAGGTGTCATGCTTATTTGTAATATGAAGCTCTTTTATTAGAACCTCAAAATAAGATTATTACTCTTACTATCTCAGGATAGAGGAACTTTAGCTGGTGTTACTTTTTATGCTTACATAAATAGGTTTAGAATTAGAAGTGTAAGTATGATCTGAAGTAAGTGAGTCTACAGTTCATTGAGTCTTAGTTATTTGATAAGAGTTTGAAAGCTATGGGCTTCCTTCAATAAAAATAGAGTGAGCATGATAACATTCTTGTTTTTAATTGTTTGTGTTGTCTTTTTTTTTTAATCTGTACACATTCATATATATCTGTGCAATCATTGGTTGAAATAGTCTGGTGACATGTAGCTACAAGATTTACCACAATAGTGTAGAATCTCTACTTATTTAGTGAAAATATCTCAAAGCTTTATTACCTATATAAAGATTTAAAGCTAATTAATTTCATACAAGTGTAACTACTTCAAATTTTGTAATTTATCATATTAGAAATTGCTTAGTTATATATTGATATGCTTAAACAGGTGTAGCTTCCAATTCCTAAATAACAAGCCTCTGGAAACTCTATGAACTTTGAGAAATGACTACAGTTATAGAAAGGGTTCAGGTCTTGTGTTCACAGGATCATTATAGTCGTGCTCGACTCAGTGGCAATCAACAACAGACCAAAGTGATAAAGTAGCTTTATTTGTAATGCCTGGACATGATAAATATATTCTTGCCCCTCCCCCCATATAGAATCTGTTGGTGATATTGTTGTTGTTGTTGTTATGTGCCGTCGAGTCGTTTGCGGCTCATAGCGACCCTATGTACAACAGCCCTAAACCCTGCTCTATCCTGTGCCAGTCTCATTGCCCCCGACACACCCATCCCGATTACCCCAGTCACTGAGTCAATCCACCTCATAGAGGGTCTTCCCCTCCTGTGCTGTCCCTCTACTCTACCCAGCATGATGTCCCTCTCCAAAGACAGTCCATGGTACATTCAATACTCTTCTCCAGCACCACAGCTCAAAGGCGTCAATTCTCCTTCTATCCTCCCTAGTCATTGTCCAACTCTCTGATGCATAACAAGTGATTGCAAAAACCATGGCCTGTATCAGGCGGACCTTAGTGTTCTGAAAAAAATTTAGTAGAGCACAGTTTATTCACTTGTACCTTTCATTGGTGGTAGTTGCTCCTGTCAGCAAATTCTTGGGGAATGATCATCCACGTGAAAACTTATTAAGGAAAAGAGAAATGGTAACAGCATTTAGGAAAAGACTTTAAAGTAGTAAGCTTAATATATTGTTTTGTGGCTGGTCCGAGTGCAGTGGAGGCCACAACTAATTGATCACAGTCAGTTACAGATTTCTTTGTTCCTTCTCCACTACCACTGCTTCACTTGACCAGTCTAAAAAAAAAAAAAAATGTTTTGTGCAGACAACTATAATGTTGTTGTTGATTGTGATCGAGTTGAACACGACTCATAGCAACCCTATGAACACAAGACCTGAACCCTTTCTATAACTATTGTCATTTCTCTGAGTTCTTAGACTTTCCAGAGGCATGTTTTTAGGAAATGGATGCCACTCCTTTTCCAAACCTGTCTTAATCTGGGAACTCCACCAAACACTGTCTGCCATCAGTAACCATTATGGCATTTGACGCACCAGTAGCACAAGATTCAACATCACAGCAATGGCAGGTTACCGCAATATAGCAAATTGACAAACCAACGCTGTAGCACTTAGAAGAATGTTCTTCCAAAATATAATAGCACTAGGTCCGAGGGCTAAAATATAAGACCTTGGAAATATTCTAGAAAAATTTGCCTTCTTTTTCACTTACAAACAAAAAAATTGAGAAGATATTTTAACCTAAGGGTGGAGGGTCTTTTACTCGGTTTATAATCAGTGAGCCTTCAGTGGGCATGCTTGCCTTTAAAAGTGCTGTAGAAAATTTATATTTTTAATTTAAAAATGTCTTTACAAAAACAACAACAAAGTATTTGTTAGAAATCACATACTTGCCGTGAGATGCAGGACTTACATCTTAAGGGTCAGGAGCACCCCACTTTGCCATTACATTCTTCTGCTTTAGATTCATTATCTGAAAGATAAGTCACATTTTAAAAAATAAAATTAGTTTTGGAACTGTTTTAAGCAGCTTGTAGATTTTCATTTAGAATCAGTGATTACGAAGTTAGGATTTACTTTGGGTTAAAGAGATACTAAATTAGCTTTTTAAGGCTATGAACAACTTAGCATTTCTTTACTTTGTTTTTACCTAAAATTGGAATACTTATAAGAAAGCATTATTTCTTCAGACAAAAGGATCTATCAGATTTTTTCTGTAATTTTCCTTTGCTCATTGGAAATAACCTATTGCTTTCAATATACGCAGAAAATGTTCTCTGGCATCAAATACTTAAAACTGCAAATATTATTTATGTTCAGAAAAATAACTCGATCCTTTTTATTTTACTCTTGTTGTGGTTATGTGCCATTGAGTCGCTTGCGACTCATAGCAACCCTAAACCCTGCTCTGTCCTGTGCCAATCGCACTGTCTCTGACACTCCCATCCCGATTGCCCCAGTCACTGAATCAATCCACCTCATAGAGGGCCTTCCCCTCCTGCGCCGTCCCACCACCCTCCCAAGCATGATGTCCTTCTCCAAGGACCGGTCTCTCCTTACAGCATGTTTAAAGTATGCTAAACGGAGCCTCAGAACCCTTGCCTCCAAAGGAGCCGCCCAGTTTAACCCTTTCCGGGATGAATCTGTTTTTTTCCCCTAGCAGTCCATGGAACTCTCAATACTCTTCTCCAGCACCACAGCTCAAAGGCATCAATTCTCCTTCTATCTTCCTTAGTCATTTAGAATAGGAAATATTTTTTTATTACATTATTGTCATCAATCATAAGGTCAATGAATCGTTATGTAACCAATGAAGTTTAATTGTTTGTCAACTAAATTTTGTAATTAAGTTTTCTTTTCTATGAGGAAGCTTTTTTAAAAACACTTTTATTATTTTGTGTGTGTGTGCCGTCAAATCATATCTGACAGGTACAGGGAGGAGATGGCCCCTCCTTCTCCAGCAGAGCATCTGGTGGATTTGAACCATGTGCCTCTGGGATTGCAGTGCAGCTTTTTACCACTAGACCACCAGAGCTCCCTAGAGGAAGCTAACATTTTTTGAGATAATTTTTTTTAATATTAGATATTTAAATAGTAAATTAATTGAAGACTTAAAAGAGCATATAAAGTTGTGTCACTTGGATTTAAGAAATGCCCATGCTCAGTGTGGTTGAGAGTAGTAATCTGAGCTTTTATTCAAGTTCTTAGCCTCAGTTATAGAAGTTTTATAACAAATGAATTTTTAAAAATTATGGTGTCCTAACTTTACTAATTAAATTCTTGATGAGAACTTACTTTATCTTAGAACACTGCCTTAGGCTTTCTCCTTTTATTTATTGATTTTGAGAAAACTTCTAGATGTGGGATAATTGCAGTACGCATGGTGTCCAGTTTGTTGATGGCATTTCCCCCTTTTCTATAGTTTATAAAGTGAAATATTTTAAACTTTCTAAAATGAGATTCTTCACCCCAAAAGGTTTTCACCATCAGGTTTTAATATAATGCAAGACTTTCACTGTGATGTAAAACCTTATGACATTTTAATTAGGAAAATAGTTCATGGAACGCCATATGATGGAATAAATTTCCCACTGCATGCATGTCCTACTAAATAGGAATGAAACATTTACCAAAACTTATGTTCAAATTGATCAGTTTTCAAAGTTGAGAAGTCAAAGAAAATGGGGATGGCTAGGGATTACAGAATGTATTTGGAACTCCGTGGTTTGGGGAGAAAGGAAAATGTGGGTTACTTATTACCCCCCCTTTTTTTTCTATTACAGGAAAAGGGGAAGATAGTGATGTGCTCAGTATAAATGCAGATGCTTATGACAGTGACATAGAAGGTCCATGCCATGAAGAAGCGACTGTTCCTGAGGTCCCAGAGAATGCAGTCCAAAGTGAAGCTGGTCCGATAGATGACCTGGAGAAAGACATTGAGAAGAGTGTGAATGAGATTCTGGGGTTGGCGGAGTCTAGTCCACAGGAACCCAAAGCAGCCACCCTGACTGTTCCCCCACCAGAAGATGTGCAACCTTCAGCACAGCAGCTGGAGCTGCTGGAACTTGAAATGAGGGCACGAGCAATTAAAGCGCTAATGAAAGCGGGCGACGTAAAAAAGCCAGCGTAGGAGTGGAATTTTTGGATTTTAGGTGTATATGAATGAAACCATGTCATAGAATTTTGTATATGAAGTTTATTTTGAGTCTTATGTGACATTTCTTGTGTAAGCCTTATTATTAGTTCAACATCATAGGCTTAAAATGTCTGTGATTGTTTTTTGTTACTTTTCTATTACATGTATATGCTATTGTTTTATGCATTCATGACAAACACGTGGATAGCCTGGATGCTTCTTAGATGAGTGCTTAGTTTTGTCTGCAAATTAGTATTTTGAAAGCCATCAGCAAAGAGTCACAGCATTTTTTTTTCAATTTTAAATATTTTGACACCAAACCTAGATGCTTCAGAAAGATTGACCAAGCATGTTGCTCTTGATATTTTGCAATAGAATATTAAATTGTTATTCCTAGATTTGTCAATAATTTAGGAAACCTAGTTTTGCTTATCTGCACTTTTAAAATATATGCTGTTTGGGAGATGCCTTCTGTTGGTGTGGATTTACTAATTAAAATTAAATCACACTTTTCTTTATAAGGCTTAGAGATTACAGATACCTGAGGGAAACTTTATTTTTATAAGTGGAAAAAGTGACTTAATTGCAGGCAATTAAAAACGATGTGGAACTATTTAATCCCAGCAGACAAATCATTCTACATAGTATTTGATATTATTGGACACTTAGTTCAAGTTTGGTTTTTTTTATTGTTATTTGTTTGTTGTCAATGAAGAGGAACAAGTTTACATTCCAAGCTTAGGAAAAGGAAAATGTTTTATTATATAGCAGTTCTTTTAGTATATTTTCTAAACGATCTGATGGGATGTAAACTCCATGAATCAAAAATAATAAAGTCTATCATCCTGGATCTGAAGACCTTTGATACTTTTCCAAAACCAAAATTAATTTAATGGACGTTGGATAAATTGATGTCATAATTAATCTAATTTTGTATGGTTTTTATAAATTAACATCCTACCACAATGAAGGATATTTTTTCTTCCCATCACTATTTGCAGTTGTTTGATACTATAATAAATTTAGATAGGGACCTGGACCCTTAACTTAAAATAAATTAATTTTTCTTCTTGAATATAAATCTCAGACTGTTGTTTTTGTATTTGATTATGATTGTATTCCATGGACTGCCAAAAGAACCTGTGTCTTGGAGAAGATGCACCCGAGTGCTCCTTAGAAACAAGGATAAAAAAAAGAACAAAAAAAAAAAAAGAAGAAACAAGGATAGTTTCTGGTGAAGCTTTGTCTCACATCCTTGGGGGGGCATGTTGCTAGAAGGGAAAGTTCCTTGGGAAAGGGAAGGTTATCATGCTAGCAAAAATGGAAGCTCAGCAAGGGAGAGGAAGAGTCAACAAGATGGATTGACACAGTGACTGTAGAAATGGACTCAGGTGCATTAGAGATGAGGAGGATGGCACAGGATAGGACAGAGTTCAGGTCTGTAGTTCAGAGTATGCATTGTACTTGTGGGCATATAACAACAGTAGTGCATCTTACAAGATATGCTCTACCTGTATGTTCATACAAAAAACTTGTAGAGACTATTTTACTTGTTAAGTTATATGTTCATTTTTTAGTTTCTTAGGCAGTTAGTGAACATTTATTAAACACTGGATTTGCATTTGTTATTTCCCCCACCCCCATCTTTAAAATATACTTGCCATTTCCCCCTCTCCATGGATCTTCTAATGAAACACAGAAACCTTTGTAACTTGAAATACTTCTCTTATAATGGTACTGGATCTTATTTAAGTTGTAAGATCTCATTATTATTGCTTTAGATGGCAAAATATTGATTATAGTAAACGAACTTTCCTATTCCAAATTAACTTAAAAATAAGTTCATTGCTGCTTACTAATTGTAAATGCAATAATGAAATTTGTATAATTAAACATTTGACAAGTTAGGGAAGGTTCTGAGTGTTCTGAGATGGTTTAAAATCACCACCGTTGTGGAGCACTCTGTATCTGTTTTATTCGCTGTGCAGCATGATTATTAAGAGGACGTGTGACTGGAGGAGATATGTGTGAGGCAGCATGGGCTGAACCAATTAGAGGCTCCTTAGAATTTTACCTCTGGAAACAACTTCTTTTTTTCCCTTTTTTAAAATTCATATAGGAAGACAAGTCTTTGAGAATGAATGATTTCAGAGAACAGGAATAGCTTTGTTTCCAAAAGCTGTAAGTAATTAGAAACTGCCATATATTGACCTAATGCTGCTGTGTAAATCATCAGCTTCCAGGTATTTATTGGATGCCTTTACTGTTCAGTCTTACTTAGACCACTGAACCCAGAGATGCTGCAGTTAGATTTACGCATGGAGGACACCGATAATAAAAATGCAGGCACTGCTGCTGTTGAGGCCAAGTTCTTCCCCATTGCCAAGATAAGACGCCAAGATACTTTAAGATGACAAAAAAAGAGGGGCCACCTAATCTCCCAATTGATATTACAATTCTGCTATTTGACTTGACCCAAGGCTTGACAGGATAGGTGGTAACTGATACAAGACTTGAAGCCCCAATAACAAGGCTTTGCCTATTTGTAGATATTTCTACAAATTTACACAAGCAAGATTTGTCCTAGAAACCCATCACTTGGCCACCAGCATAACATTCCCACTTTGAAACAGATTTTTCAGACCCTCCCAATCCTTTCACTGTATACCAATTCCTTAAAGGCATTGGACAATGTATATAGCCTTTCCTTATCAATCTAATTGGCAAAACTTATCTTCAACAAATGTTATATTTCAAGAATGAGTAGAAATATTAAAATAATTTGAATTCTCTTATTTATCTTGCTGCTCTTAGGTCAAGTTGTGAAGATGTTAATGTTAGATGTATCCCACACTAAAGGCTTTAGTCTGGTCTTTGGTCTTCATCAGTAAGTGAGTCAAATCTTCTCTTTCAGCAAGTAGGGTTGTGTCATTGGCATATTACAGATTGTTAATAAGTATTCCTTCAGTCCTGATGTTGCATTCCTCTTCATATAGTTACACTTAGATTATTTTATTTGCTCAGTATACAGATTGAACAGTTACGGTGGAAAAATGGGATACGTACACCTTTCCTGATTTTAAGCCACATAGTATTACTTGCTTCTATTCAAATGACTGCCTCTTAGCCTATGTACTGGTCCTACATAAGCACAATGAAGTGTTGGCCTAGTGGACAGAAAGTGATGCTACCAAGCCAAAGGAGGGTGACTTTAATCTGGCCCTCGAGCCTGATTTTAATTGTTTTTGCTCAAACATTCCTCTAGGTCATCACACTGGTCTGTCCATACTGCTGTAGAGAGGTAACTCGTGGTTGCTGTGATGCTAAACACTGTGACACTGATGTGTCAAATGTGATAATGATTACCCGTGGTGGACAGTGTTTGGTGGAACCTCCCGATTAAAACAAGCTTGGGAGCAGGCGTGGAATCCATTTCCGAAATAGCTTGCCTCCAGAAACCCTATGAATGTGGAAAAACGATGAAAATTATATAAGTGTTCAGGTTTTTCACTCATGGGGTGCCTACGACTCGATGGCACTTAACAACAACAATGACAACAACAGAACAAGATATAGAGAACTGCCAGAAGTGTAAGCTGGATTTTAAAAAAGTATATTTTAGGGCATTATGTTTATCGTAGGAGTACACAGTGAGGGTTGCAGAGTGGATTATATTTGGGGATGGGGGTGGGATTGGGGGAGGTGCGGGGGGGGGATTGTGTTCCAATGAGGGAGTTTTGCTTTTCAAGGAGAGGAGCAAACGGCGGGGGGAGGGGTGTCGGCGGGGAGAAAGGTGCAACAATGAATGGAATTCCAAAATCTCTGTAGATGTTCATTGAAATGAAAAATAAATAAAATATTAAAAAAAACCCCAAAACTTAAAAAAAGATGCTATGGTATTAGGGTTATCATTGCTGGTGTCAGATGAAAGCTGGCTGAAAGTAATACCCGAGCAGTGTCTATTTGTGCATTATTAATTATAAAGCATTTGACTGTGTGGATCATAGCTAACATTGAAAAGAATCAGAATTCCAGAACACTTAACTGTGCTCTTGTGAAACCTCCACCTACGCCAAGAGGCTGTTTTGTAAATAGAGCAAGGGAACACTACACGGTTTAAAATGAGGAGAGATGTGTGTTAGGGTTGTATCCTTTCTCCATGCTGAGCCAATTACTTGAGAAGCTGAACTCTATGAAGAAGGTTTGAGTACCTTCCAACCTGAGATCATCATCTTCTGACCCTTTACAGTGATGTGCTACTATTCACAGAATTTTCCCTGGCCACTTTGTAAAGAAATAAACTACCATGTCCTTTTTTCTACATGGAGTCTGTAGGTTCTGGGACTATCTGTCTACCAGTGGCGACTCTCCTGTATTTGAAAGATCAGTAGCAATGCTTCCAGCGTCACAGGAGCAGGTAGGTCACAGTCCAACAAACTGACAGATGATGAGTGTCAGGACTAAATATAGAGGAACTCTATATTCCTTGATATAAAGAATTATTTTAAAATTCTGTATGGTGTAGTAGAGTTTAAGATTTGAGAGCAGAAGTGGTGGTTCTTGTACAAGAATATGTAAAATAAGGAAAAAAAATCAGCTAATACTTATTTTAGCTCTAATCTGTGTTTTCAATATAGGATGCCAGGAATTTTAGAAAAATAGAATTCTTTCAAGGTTAAATATTTCCCTCTCCTTATGCTGTCCTTGAAAAGAAAGCAAACACTTTTTATCTCACCCAAGCTCCAAGGAGCATGAGACCACGCGCGGAGACTGCCCAGCCAAGTGGACACTGCCTGGTCGTGTGGTCACTGCCCAGCTGTGTGGACACCAGCTGGCCACCCATGTGCCAGGAGCTCATGGAAAAAGAAGTCATTTAATGCTTATCTCTCAGTGTTGCTGTGTGTGAGCAGTAGTCTTATTAAAGTCTGTAATTTCCACACCCTTTATTATAGTCTCCATTATCAGAAGCACTTGAGAAGGAAATTATTTAAAAT